ATAATATTCGGAATGGCTTAAACAAAGGGAAAGTAATCGAATAGTCAAAATAATTTCATTTTTTTGCCAATACATTATACAGTACAAGGTTGAAGGTTCTCCCCTTTCTCTGCAAAATCTCGAATATTGAAACTATTACATTTCTGCAAAGCAAGCAACTGACTTTTTTTTTTTTTTTTTGGGGGGTCACTTTCCAATCTGGATTAAATAGGACTAAAAGTTCTGAGGTCTACCAACTGAAGCGAAGAATGATTCTATTTCAGAAATTTAACGCAGTCTATTCAAAATTAGAATGAAAAACACCACAGATTGGTAAATCTCTTTATTAATCAATATGAATATGGCAGGGATATCGCGCAGAGCGTGATGTGTCCTGCTCAATGATAAATATGACACATGACAGTGAAAACCGGCTGAAGCAAATGGGCATTTTCCTTTATTTAGTTATTTATTCTTCAAATACTGGCAGCTGTTGATTCCGATTGCATAATATCACGTAGCAGAAGAATTAAGGTGCATGTGTTGTGCAATAACGTTTGCAATATTTTGCAGAGATAATTAATTTTGATGTTCTGTCCGAGATTTGTTTATGAACACTTAAAGAGTTTTACTGTGCTTGCTAAGCAGATTATTTTTCACTTCCGTTGGGCTATTTTTTATATGATGCACATATTGAAATCTCAAAAGCATTATTTAGTTGAAAAATCTAAAGAATGGTTGCAAGTCTACACCCCCGCTCCACTTTTACCAAGTTATGCTCAACTAAACGGAATTTTCCAAATATTCTGCAATTTCCGAGTATGCCTGTTAGTTAAGCTTTTACTGTTAAAGGATGACTGCATGAAGCAAATTTCTGTCTTCTGATTTCAGAAATGTTCCTCTTTTTACTTAAATTACTTTGCTTGCAATATCTGTTAAGGAAAACTGATATACAATGAAAATTTAGAAAATGTTAAGAATTTAGATTTAAATTAGTTAAATATCAATATAAGGGAGAAAATAAATTGTATTTATTATTAAGTTCCAAGCGAATAGAATAAATATGCCTTATTATTATTTATTTCCTCTATTTTGAACTGAAATTTCGTCATTAAATCTTGTAATATAGTTTAGTTCTGCATAGTTTTTTTTTTCTCTCATTGTAAACTAGTTCTGTAAATTGAACTGTTATTTAAAATTAAAAAAAAAGTAATTATTTTCCATGGTTGAGGTAATGCTTATTCTCTCTTAATAAATGCTGCATTTCTCATATTTTAAATTACAAGTCTAATTTTTAAGGTTATGCAGTTGTGTATAATGTAATTAGACAGGTGCTTAGTTTTTTCTTAAAATGTGCTTGAAAAGTGCTTATAGGTGCTTATTTTTTTAACCAAAATGTGGCTATGAACCCTGTCGAAAGTTCAAGCTTACTTTTATAAAATTGCTCTAACAGTCTGCAAAAAATAATAAGCCGGATCCCATTCGAAGATTAAGGAACAACGCAATCTGCACTGACGAAAAATGTAGATAATTTTAGCGTAACCGTCTGTTATACATTAAACTCGCATGCGTAAACGTACTATGTGCATGCGCACACACATATGCGCAGCCGTAAAGGTCTTACGCGCATGCGTCAAAGCGAACCATGCACAGAAAGTTTGTAGCTTTGAGGTCCGGATTATGGGTGTCCGAATTAACGACTTTTGACTGTATATACATTTCTGAATCTGGTCCCCCTGAGATAACAGAAGAGTACCCATATTTTTGATGAAGTGGATTTATACTATTCCTAGGAGAATAAGAATTTGTCTTAGTTTTAAAAGTCAACTGAAAAGAATTAGAAAAATACTTTACAAATATGGCTGGGAATTTTTTATCATAAGCCTTTCATTCATTTATCTAAGCCTTTCATTAAACTTTGTTAAAAGACTGTGACATAGAATAAAATTTATGCATCTGCATTTAATTTAGTAGGTATTTTCTATACATATTTTATAAAAATTATGAAGTATGCATTTAATATAAATAACAGTAATATAGTAAGATAATAGATATTAAAATAAATACTTATAGAAGTGATGGGACTGTTCTATCAAATAAAAATCGAGACATTATGGAAACTGATAATTGTCGTCATTAATAGTTACATTCTGCCTCCTTCATTAAAGAGCAAAATCATCTGGAAATGGGGATGATCACCTTGAACATTTGCTGTAATTAAATTATAATTATAAAGTAATTATTGACTTTGTAAGTTATAAATAGCCTTGAATGGAAGTACATATTGCTGTTGCTTTCATAAAGTATTTTTTGGGAGGGATGAAGTAAGATTACTTCTTTAAAATTAAAATTGGGGACTTTTTTAATTAATTTTAAAAGTGCTATGTTATTTGGGCACTATTTTTTAAAAATAATAATTGATTTTAATTTCATTTCAGCCGTATGTAAAATATACAGTGGTCAAAAAGCAATTCGTGTGAAACAAGCTGTAGACCGTCAAAAAATGTGAGTTGTTTTGTTTTAATATAATATGCATTAAAAAATAATGTGCCTAAGTACATACATGAGAGATGAAATTTTGATACTTTTCTTATTTTTCTGGAACTGAGTGTAATGATGAATTCATAATTTAATATTTTGTCCTGATATACAGATTAAATTTTTCATCTATTTATGGAAGTGATATTTTAAAATAACTTAAGTACTTTTTTCAAAGATTTTTAAAAATGTCAGTTTATAAAACTAAATTTCTGTTGTTTAGTTCAAAAAAACGGATAATTTGTATCTAGCACTTACCATTTATCACGAGTTGAGAAATATTATTTCTTTGCCAGATATCTGTAGCAAAATTTGTATAAAGTGATGTTACGATCAATTAAAAAAGAAAAATGGAAAGTTCAGTCTTAATTGATATTAATTTTAAACATGAAGTTTAAAATATAAATATTATGTTTATGATATATTTTTTATTGTGAAAAGCAAATGCTGTGCAGATACACAGCCTTGAGTGTAATAGATAAATAGTCCGAATTCCCAATTTTAGTCTTTGTACTCTAAATATGTAGAAAGAAAGAGAGAAAGAAAAGCTGAGAATTAAAATAGGTGGAAAATGACATACAGTCAAAAGTCGTTAATCCGGACTCGTCGGGACTTCGGCGATTCTGGATTATCGATTTTTCCGGATCATAGATCATCAGTTTAAATCTGGTAAGATGGCATGCAGAAATTACAAAATTAAAAATATGAAACCGTAATTTATGAAATAAAGAATAATTATGATCTAAAGGGTATCAAAATTTACAAAAAAAAAAAAAGCTTAATATTTATTTGTTTACTTTATTAAACATTTCTTTCAATGTAAGTTGTTTAAGTTGCTTCATTTTATGTGATAATACTTTCTCTTTAATTCTATAAACAGACATAATTTCTTGTTCAGTTACAAAGTTCCGCTGTTCAAGTCCTATAATTGCTGTGTCGAGAATACCGACTAATTGTCAATCGAAATTTTTTTCGTTTTCAATAACCTCTGTGTCACTTTCTTCAGTATCGGAAGCGAATTATAATGACGAGGAATTTGATTTAAATCATATCAAAGACGGAGTACATCGAGATGAAATACTACATTTAGTAAGGAATAAGCCAAATAAAATAAAAACATCTGCCCTGAAGATAAGGATAGTGCTGACAGATCAACTTCCAGTTCTTTGCGCGCCTCGACATCCCCCCCTTGCAGTGCAGCGGGGAATTGATAAATAGATTTCGAAATGGTTAGAGAAACAAAGGATATGCGTTTATCCATTTTTTGCAGCAATTCCACTTTTTGTTTGATGGACATCGAAACATACTTTCGCTTTGTATATTCTTTGGCAGCTCCATCATCGGAAATTCTATTTGATATAATCGAGATGTTCAAGCTTACTTTTATAAAATTGCTCTAACGGTCTGCAAAAAATAATAAGCCCGATCCAATTCAAAGATTAAGGAACAACGCAATCTGCAACATTAACTGAAATAGATAATTAGATCATTTTAGTTTATATCGTCTGTTATAGATTAAACGCGCATGCGTAAACGTATTATGCTCATGCACACACACATATGTGCAGCCGTAAAGGTCTTACGTGCACGCGTAAACACCTATGCGCGATGCATGCGCAGAAAGTTTTTAGCTTTGATGTTCGGATTATAGATCATTCCGGATTATGGGTGTCTGAATTAACGACTTTTGACTGTATTTGTATTTTCTCCCTGCAGTGTCCTAATATGTTGGTCATTTAGTTGCTTCATCACATGTGTTTTTATAGATGTGGAAAGCTTCAAACAGGTTTTTGATGCAAAAGCAAAGCTTAAAGTTCTAAAATTAAACTTTTAGAAAAAGTAGCAATAGAAGCTCCCTAAGGTTATGTACTTTGCAGACATTGAACACAAAAATTTTTAAACTTAACCAATTTATTACCAGTATATAAAAATAAAAATACAATGAATAAATTTAATCAATATCAGAAACTTAGTAATAACATAATCATTATCAAAAATTACACTTAGTTGATAATCCATTAACCCCAAGGGTTTTTCCTTTAAAGAATGTCACACTATTAAAGAATATTTTACCTGATCTCCAAATACTGGCATTCAATATGTGAAAAACATATTACTAAACAGAAATTATGTGGTTATAATGAAATTCGCTACACTATCAACGAGTCCATGCTTCGTGGTGAAGAAGGCACGTGGAAAATTAAATTAAGTCCTTGAGAGCACTTAACCCTTTAAGCGTGTAGCGTTTGCTCCTGCGCGTGCACTGCAGTGGGGACGATGACGAGGTGAGTTCGTCAAGCACGCTTAAAGGGTTAAACCGGCAAAACGCTGCCTTCATGGAAACAGGATGCTGGCCGTGGCAGTCGCTCACATCGTAGCCTCTTTTGAGAATCCAGGAAAAGTCATCTTGTAGACTGGAACCACGGCACTTATCACTGGACGGCACGCATCTCAATATCGTCTTCCAATGGGGGCTGGAACGGCACACCACGGAGCAAAGAACCAGGAACCAGAAGGAATAAGCCAGAGCGATGCAAGATACTTGTACTTGAAGTAGACATGACGTCATCTCACGGCAACCAAACAGCTATCAGCACGACTCAGCTTTCCAGATGACGTAACATCAAGCTTCGTTTTTGCATCTTAATTAGGCTGGAACAGTCCGTTCTTAATACAAACAGTGGCAGTGAAAAAACGAAGTAGAAGTAATTATTATATCCCTTTAAAATAAGAACTAAACCTTATGTAAAAGTTAGAAATATTTCAAGGAGGAGAGATGATGCAGAAAAAGGGTTACAATAGGTCATATTTTCCAACAAATGCCCCCCCACATCATCATCTCCGACCTGAAATAAAACTGAACACCAGTATTTTTATAAAATTCAAAACAAGAATAAATAAATATCACAACTCCATTCAGTTCAGAAAGTTTTAAGAAAATTTTCCTTTGGGGACATCTTATTCCATTTTTCAAAATTTTACCATAATAAGAAAGTCCAACATGTTACAAAACAATACAAAGACATATATATGATCATACATTCAATACATTTACCCAGGGCCCTAGTCAATCATACAACATTCTACACTGTATAATTTTACATTATCTAATACTCATCATAATATGACTTACAACACATTATTTTCATTCAATGTTACAGTCCAAAAGAGACAAAAATTGAAACATCTAAACAAAACTCTTAATTTAAAGTTAAATACACACAAAAAGAAATTTTCATAAGAAAATTGCTCCACAAAATCTTATCAAGTTATGTTTAGTCAGCGGTTTTGTCATGGGATCAGCCAGATTATCTTTGCTTGGAACATATTTTAGATAAAAAATTTCCCTGTTCAGTAGATCACGAATGAAGAATAGCTTTACATCTATATGTTTTGTCCTTGAGTTTTCAATGGGTGATTTTGTAAAACTTATAGCAGCCATGTTATCCGCAAACAATATAGGTTTTGAAACATAGTTACTTGCAATTTTAAACTGAATGCATTCATCCAAAATGTTTTTAAACCAAACTAATTCTTTTGCTGATTCAGTCATGGAAATAAATTCAGCCTCCATAGTAGACAACTCACTCCCCCTTTCTTTAAATGTACACCAAGATACAGGTGATTCTTCCAACAAAGCTATTTGTCCACCAATAGACACTATATCATCCCTGGTTGAAGCAAAATCCAAATCTGAATATATATTGAGCTTCAGTTCCTTGCATACCAGTTTAAGTTTGTGATGTCTGGTATTGGAAACGTATCCTCAAAGTTTGAGTAATCCTTCCCAGTGAAACTTACCAGGATTGCTTTGAAACTGAGAAAATATATTAACAGCATACGCTATATCTGGACGAGTACGATTGCAAAGAAATGAGAGGCATTCCAAAACATTTCTATAAGGATAATTCAACATGTCAGTCGTTTCTTCTTGTGTACTGGAACTTTAAGTATTTCACACCTTTAATTATTGGAAGTAATTTGTATTTTAAAATCCTTGAATCGATCAACTATGTCTTCTATATATAATAGCTGGTGAATCAAGACACTGTTGTTCTCATATTCAAATTCCACACCCAAAAGCTTTTTTGTTTTACCCAAAATTTTCAAATCAAAATGTGGATTCAGGACTTTTAATATCCTTTTAGCCTGAACTTCACTTTTTCCAAATACAACAATATCATCAACATAAACCAACAGAATGACAAAATCTTTAAAACGATAGACACAATTACACCACTCAAACTTGGTAAACCCTAGGTTACATAGTGTTCTATCCAACTCGTAGTACCATAATCGCCCACTCTGATGCAGATCATACAAGGCTCTATCTAAACGACACACAAAAGTTTCTTTATCTCGCTCTACAAAACCCTGAGGTTGGGACATGTAAATTTCCTCAGATAAAGGAGCGTAGAGATAGGCACTTTTTACATCGCATTGTATATTTGCCCATCCAAGGTGTGCAACTAAGAGAGAGAAAAAGAGCCTTATTACTGAAAAGTTGACTACAGGTGAGTAGGTTTCGTCATAGGTATCGTATTTAATTTGCCGATAACCCTGAGCCACTAAACGAGCTTTAAAACGAACAATGTTTCCAAATTCGTCATGTTTAATGTTGAAAATCCTTTGCAACCTAGTGGAGTCTTGTCTTTAGAAAGTGGAACAAGATGCCATACCTTATGCTTTCGCATTTTGGCTATTTCCTCTTCCATCGCTTCTATCCATTTATGCTTTTCTGTGGATTTCATTGCCTGGTTATAAGTGTTTGGAATTGAAACCTCTAGTCAGCTATTTTGGGTATATGATGTTGAACGAGTGCCAGTTGGGTCGATTTCACCACTATAAGTATTGCTTCCCTTGAAATCAAACAAGGTAGGATCATACTGAATATTATGCTCAGTGCAATACTTTTCTACATCATTTGGTGATCGTAGTCTTTGATTAGACCCCTTCTCAAAATAGTA